CGCCAAATGTACTCCCCCACTGCAGCTGGGGAGTACATGAGAATAAATGAGTTCTGCAATAATATTTGGATCAGAAGGTACACTAGAAGCAAACATGTCCATTATTGTTGACATAACAGCTTTAACAAATCAAGTTGCAATCCTTGTGTTATACAACTTGTTTCTTTTCGGGCAGACATCTCATCCCCAGGAGAACACTGCTTGCGAATCCTGGAACAAGGAAACATGCATAGGATCAGATTCCAGTACCCTTCCCTAGCGAGTGCACTTCAAACGGCTTGGACTACAACTCCCATAATTCCTGTGCAGCATGGCCACTGCAGCCAGGTGGGCTACAATGCAGCAAGACCACAGGCTGAAATCCCAGCACTTCACTGGCCTTACAGCTTCAACCTATAATCAGTGAGACAGGCAGGACACAAACAGATCAGTCCAAAACAAGACCTCTTAGGCCTGAAAGATCCCTCGCAGTTGGCTGTCCGGCCTGTGCATGCAAACCTCTGCACAAGATCCTGCGCTGCCTCTAGGCAGCTTCACTCCCTGAAGGATCCCCTGCTGCTTGAGAGAGACTGATCCTTCTGAAGCAGGTGCCTCCTCCTCGAACACCTTGCTTCTTCCGCTGCCCCAGAAGCCAACATCTCTTCACCTCAAGTGCCCTGAAACAAGCCAGCAGTTGCAAATCTCCCAAAACCCAGCCACGGCTCTGCCCTGCAAGTGGAAGGGAGACCACCCTAGAAATCCACACGTTCCACTCGGAGCTTTTTGCAGAGAGGAAGGTCCAGATGTGCCATGAAGAGGAAAGGCAGTGCACGGGCTCTGCTGCCTACTTCAAATAGTCTATGGCTTGAAAGAATGCTTTCCGCCCACTGTGAAAAGAACGGTAATTTACTACACTGCCCAGACATGTGCTGTGATGGGGATGCACAGCCAGCTGGCACTCCTGACGTTCCTTCTGGAACACGCACGCCGCAAATAACACGCCCGGCTTTTCTCTCAGGCCCCGCTCCTTGCAAACACAACCGAGTTGTGCGAAATGATCCCGGGCTGCTGTTTCTCTCGTTAATGAGAGACAAGGCAAGGTGGCCACGCTAAGAAAGCTGTCAGCTGCCAGCCTCGGTTCCAAGCACTGAACAGCTTCACCTTGGCTGAGGAAGATAACAGACCACATGATCCGCCACTGGCCTGGAGAGATCCGTTGTGCCACGCTGGAAAGGAGTGTGAGCGAAGGCGATCTCTGCTCCGGAGCTGCACAAGGGGAGAACAGGAGCAGAGTCTCCCATCTTCCAACTGCCAACGATGAATACGTAAACACAATTACGCTATGGAACGACGTTACTGGAACTAGTACTGAGATGCACCAGTTAGAGCTCTGGACGTGGACTTGCAAGACCCGGGTGCTCAGCAATATTTGACCCTGCAGTTGATTCTCAGCCTTACCTACCTCACAGATTTGTTGTGCGGATAAAATGGAACAGGAGGATCCTGTGCACCACCTTGGGACTCCCCAGGGATAGGTAGGGTGTTAAATTAATACATTTAATATTTGCCATCCAAGATGGAGGGGCAGGAGTCAAAGGGAGTCTTGGAAGCATTTCTCCATGTGAACTCCTAGAAGCAAACTTACTCACCACAAGCAACCGGCAGCGTACACACCTATGCTATAGAATATATTGAACCTTATATATGACCTTATTGCAGCTAAGACTTGGGCCAGAGCTCCCAAGGCCTCACAGATGAGGGATGCAGTTTCTGGGGGTGGGTTGGGACGAAAGAGCAACAGGTGTCTGTGCATGTTGGACATAATCCCTTTATCCTTATTCCAGTTCATCTATTTCACATTTTCTTGCCCCCCCCCCCGACATCAGAAGGTATTTGAATGAAAAGTGATCATCACAACATAGCCCGACACCTCTCTCTAGAGCCATATGGTGATGAATGAAAATAAATGAATGATGCTGTTGCAAGTCACTTTCACTAGACAATTCACAGTGGCGGCTTTTGTTGATGTCTGAGCCCGGGCAACCTCAGCAAGCAGGATTCAGAAGGCTTAGGCCAACTAGCATAACTAACAGCCTGTCGTGCGTCTATCTTAAGCGAAGTCTCCTTACCAGATAAGCCAGCCAGCCCGCCCACAACATGCTGAGTGAGGCCAAGCACCAACTGGATCAATACAGGAATCTCTGCTCTCTCTGCTTACTTATGCAACACCCGATCTCGGGGAAAGCTTCCATTTGCTGAAATTCTAAGTGCTCGCTTTGAAATCACCAGCGATATTTACATACCCTTATTAAAAACAAGAATAAAAAAAATTAAAACAGGTGTGTGGGGAGGCACTTGAACGTGACTTTGCCTCTAAGAATGTAAGACGAAGCATGCTGGGCCAGACCAAGACGCCACCTTGTTTGTTCCCACGGTGGGCCACCAGCAGCCAGCTGCAACCCACAAATAGGGTATGACTGCAGCAGCCCCCTCTTGCCCATGCTCCCCAGCAACAGATGTGTGTAAGCATGGTGTCTCTAATACTAGAGGCAGCAGAGGGCCATGAGGACTAGTAGTGTGAAAAAACACCTTCCTTTCTTTGGTCCAGAAGCCCTCACAAAAAAGCTTCATAGGATAACCCCAGGTTCTAGTATTATGAGAAGGGAAAATGTTGCCACGCACTTTCGGCACACCAAGTCTGTGTATTTCCGTACCTCTCTATAATATCTCTCCTTACTGCCTTTTTGCTAAACTTAAGCCATCCCAGCTCTTGTAATTTTTTCTCAAAGGCAAGTTGCTTTGGTACCTTGATTATTCTTCTTCCTTTTTACTAGTTCCTTCATTTTAGAAAAGCTTCCTCTTGATTTTCTTCTTGAAACTGGGTTCATTGTGGGGTTGCTGTGTCATGCAAGACCAGCAATCTTGAGGTTTTTTATGATTAAACAAGCCCCATATAGCCCTGCTACAAACTGATGGCTATGAAAGGGTAGTTTAACCCTCAAATAACCCCTGGTGGCTGAGTTCACACAGTATCACAACCCCCAAGTTCACTATGTGCTGAACAACTCAGGAACCTTGTGTGTTGGTGTATCTATTTTACTTTTCACATTTTACTCTTTATGAAAAGAATTTGTGACTACTATTTTTGTAATTCAAACAAAAATTGATGGCATGGTGGAATGATGGAAGAGATGAAGTGCTATCTTTTTTCACAACTGGCAAAAGGGGTGAAAGGACCAATTGCTGACTTGAACTAGCTAAAGATTTTCCATCACACTTGTAGTTTTATCAACCATTCTGTACAAATTTGCAGGTAACTGCTTTCACGAACTTGGGTCAAGATTCAAGAAAGTCCTGGACATGCTACTCTACAGAAAAATGCAGGCTCTCAAGAACTTTCCACCACAGATCCGGTACCTTTTTTTCCACTCTTCCACATTAAGCTAATCTTCATTTGTTTACATTTTCTAAAAGCCTGAGAGATGAACATCTCCCTGTTCCACAGCTGGATGCATGTGATATAAAAACAGAAAACAGAATTAAAAAAACCCCAGATACTTAAATGAAAAGGAAAAGGAAGCCATTATAAAACACATGCTCAATTTCCTGGTTACGTGTTTCCCCAACACAAGAAAATGCTGACAGAGGATCATTAATTTCCTCTTCTCCTCTTCATGGATTCCCAACACTTGTTAACACCTGAGCTACCAGATACTGGCTGATGCCACCTTGAACACATAATTTCTGCCCAAAGCTGTCTACTCCTCTTCTTCTCCAAGGACCTCCATCTAACCCTGGTATCAAGCAGTCCTTCCCACAAGCACCTTCTGCAGCCACATCACCCCCTTGCAGCCATCCCAAAAGCAGCTTCTCCTCAAGAGGAGGCCTGCTACCCTCTAATACAGCCTGCCCACACACGATCCTGCCCCACCAGAGATGCTCTCCCCACAAGACAAACTTAGAGAAGGAACTGCTCAGGCTGATGGGGCCAGCTCTCTGCTCCATGCAGGCACCCAGCTTAAATCGTGGGGAATACCTCCAGTGACACCACCCCCGGAAGCAGCTGGCCCCACTGCCCCACCTCCTGTCAGTCTCGCCTCCCAACAGCAGCCCCCTGTGTTCCCATTAAAAGCCCCTCCAATGCACCTTCCTTCAAGCAGACTCCCCACTGCTGGTTCCAAACACCCCTTCTCCGCCTTCCCCTCGCCTACCAGCTTAATGCAAGCGATGCCAGATCCAGCCAAAAGCAAATCTAGTCTAGTATTCCGTTCACACGGTGGCCAACCAGCTGCCCATGGAAAACCAGAGGCAGGGCAGCACCCAGGGCCGTTTATGCTGCAGGGAGCAAACAGCGGCGGGGCCAAGGGCTGCTTTCTCCTCCTTGAATGGGGCAAGGAATAGCTGCAACTCGGCTCCGAAAGTCTGGCGGCCCCTACTCCTCCTTCCTCCCATCTCCTCAAGCACTGCCACCCTACCTCGCAAAACTGTTGTTTGGAAAAAAGCGAGCCAACCTTTTGCTGGAGGGATGGAAATAACAGCAACATTACTACCATTTTTAGAAGCGAAATGCGTGATGTGTTGGAGACTAAGACTGGGGAGTGTGGCGCGCAGGAACACAGGATTCAGTGGCAGAGGAAAGTCAGGGCTGCACCCGAGGAATCCACGGAGAACCGCCTTGCTGCCCTTCTCCCCCGTCATCAAGCACTGCTCACCCGCCGCGCGAGGAGAGAGACGTGCTCAGTCCCGCGGGTTTGCCAGGAGCAAAAGCCGTAATGTGGGGGAAACCAGGCGGCGGATCCCGGGGTGAAGGCGCAGCCCAGGCCCCTCCCGCTCCCCTCGCCGGCCTCCCTCGCGGGGTCGTCGTGCGGCGGCGCGCCGGGGCGGCTGGAGGAGCGGGACCGGGAGCAGGAGCGGCGCCGCCGCCTCTCACAGCCGCCCGCCCGGGGAGGGGCGCCGCGGCGGGGCCCGGCCGGGCCGCGACCCGAGGCCTCCCGCCCCGCGGCCTGCTCGCGGGCGCCTACCTGTAGGCCAGCGTCATGCACTCGAAGAGCTTGGTGAGCGAGGCGTCGATGCTGAGGCGGCCGCCGCCGTCGCCCGCCTGCCCGCCCCCGGCGCGGGCGCCCGCCGCGGGCCCGAAGCGGTACGTCTGGCACGTCTGCTCGTTGACGGTGTCGAAGTCGTAGCCCTTCTTGGGCGGGTGCTCGCTGTGCGGCGACGACACCATGAAGTGGCCCGAGTGGATGATCTGCGGCGCGCCGGACGCCGAGGCCGAGGCCGAGGGCGCC